TAGATAAGGAATCGCCCGCTACTGTCGATAGGAATGATAGGGCGCGGGTGTTGACCGGTGGCACAGTTAACTAAATACAAATTTTATATGTGGTTAAGATAAAAAACATACATATTTTCCTATAATTTTAATAAACAATTTCACTATAGACTGGATTTGCATACATTTTCACAATCGATGTGTACAAAATGATAAATATTTTATTTTAATAATAAGATCACTTACTTGTGGTACTAAATACGGCAAAACAACTCTACTCTTAATAGCCATCACTTGTCGCAAACCATCTAAAGTGAACTCTCCTTTCTCTGGATCTCCCAATTGGCTAAGAAGTGCGGGTAATATCTCTTCTAGAGCTCTGACACCAACAGCCGAGTGGAGACTTTCTTAATAGCCATCACTTGTCGCAAACCATCTAAAGTGAACTCTCCTTTCTCTGGATCTCCCAATTGGCTAAGAAGTGCGGGTAATATCTCTTCTAGAGCTCTGACACCAACAGCCGAGTGGAGACTATCGAAAGTCTTGGCGGCCGCTTGTCTTACTTCAGGCAATGGATCAAAAAGAGCCTTTTTAACGGTAGGCACGAGTGAGTCGACAAACGCCTGAACCATTTCTCTGGAGGTGGAGGCCATGATTTCACTGAGTCCTATACAAACGCCTTGTCTCTGGTCGGGCCGATCAGACTCGAGGCCCTGTTCTAGGATTGGAATAATTTCGGGAAGAATACGTTCGCCTAATTTGCGTACTAAGTCTCCGAGAGTACGTGCGGCCACTTCTTGCTTGTCCTTACTGTTCGACGCCAGACATCCCAATAGCAGTGAGAATAGAGTGGGAAGTATTTCTTTGAGAGTTCGCGGAGTGTTAGTCACCACTACTTTCCAAACGTGAAGAGCCGCCTGACGCACCTGTAGTGACACATCCGAACGGCCCATATAGAGACCAGAGAGGACGCGATTGCGACGATCGCCTCCGAGTGCGCCCATTATAGCCCTATGCGACTGTTCAGTACCGAAATTGTCGTCTTCGTCGGCCGTTTCAGTTGTCATCTTTCCGGAAACGCCTGATATTCTTAATAGCCATCACTTGTCGCAAACCATCTAAAGTGAACTCTCCTTTCTCTGGATCTCCCAATTGGCTAAGAAGTGCGGGTAATATCTCTTCTAGAGCTCTGACACCAACAGCCGAGTGGAGACTGTCGAAAGTCTTGGCGGCCGCTTGTCTTACTTCAGGTAATGGATCAAAAAGAGCCTTTTTAACGGTAGGGACGAGTGAGTCGACAAACGCCTGAACCATCTCTCGGGAGGTGGAGGCCATGATTTCACTGAGTCCTATACAAACGCCTTGTCTCTGGTCGGGGCGATCAGACTCGAGGCCCTGTTCTAGTATTGGAATAATTTCTGGAAGAATACGTTCGCCTAATTTGCGAACTAAGTCTCCGAGAGTACGTGCGGCCACTTCTTGCTTATCCTTACTGTTCGACGCCAGACATCCCAATAGAAGTGAGAATAGAGTGGGAAGTATTTCTTTGAGAGTTCGCGGAGTGTTAGTCACCACTACTTTCCAAACGTGAAGAGCCGCCTGACGGACCTGTAGTGACACATCCGAACGGCCCATATATAGGCCAGAGAGGACGCGATTGCGACGATCGCCTCCGAGTGCGCCCATTATAGCCCTATGCGACTGTTCAGTACCGAAATTGTCGTCTTCGTCGGCCGTTTCAGTTGTCATCTTTCCGGAAACGCCTGATATCTTAAACAAGAGATCGCCCAACAGTTGGACAGAACTGAAGCGTATTCTCCAGTTTTCATCGAAGAGTCCGCCCTCTAATTCAGGCAATAGTAGTTGAATAGCGGTCTCGGCGTACATATTGACAATGCGTTGACCCGCTCTAAGGGCTGTCTCGCGAACAAATTCATTCTCATCCGCCAGTGCTTTGAGAACCGGATTAATGATACGTCCGATATATTTAGTGAATTCCTGCGTGAAGACCATCGGAAGGTATATAAAGAGCATAATATATCCGTCCTTAACGTGTGGCGCAATGTCTGTTCGTTCGGCCGTTTCAATCATCTCTGGAATGAATTTCTCCAGTCTTTCGAGACCGAGTCCTCCCATTACTTCACTCAATCCCTGCGCAGCACCCGATCGGTCAACAGAACTGGTCTCCGATGTTAGAGTTGTCATAAGCCAAGGCATAAGATCTTCGAAAATATCTTCTCCCATACCCTTAACCATAGCGCCGAGAGCTCTAGCGGTTACGCCTCTCACTTCTGGCACGGGATCGAGTAGTGATTGTTTTAGGCCCGGAATAATTGATGGCAGATATGGCGACAAATCCTTTTGATCTGTCAATGCATACATATTGCCAATGATCTGAGCGGCCATTTTTCGGGTTTCAGTGGATCGGCCCTGAAATGCGCGCTCAACGACAGGCATTATCAGTGCCAGAGAAGGCGCGTCTATGAAATGCACAAACTTTGTGTTCAGCATTGTATTCAAACATTTGGAGGTCTTATTTGCCGGATCTTGAAGTGCTTCCAAGAGAACGGGAACTATTGCCTGAATTTCAGGATTCCTAATAACAGAACCAATTTGTTTGAGTGCCTGAGCGGCTGTTTTTTGCACTTTTGGGTGAGAATCTGATATAACAGTCATCAGTTTGGGAACAATTGACGGCAAACACGATGACAATTGTTTTGGTGCACAAAAAGCCATAGCACCCAATAATTCAATAGATCCGGCTTTTGTACGCCACGAATCCTCTTCTAATATATAACAGTCATCAGTTTGGGAACAATTGACGGCAAACACGATGACAATTGTTTTGGTGCACAAAAAGCCATAGCACCCAATAATTCAATAGATCCGGCTTTTGTACGCCACGAATCCTCTTCTAATGCATTCAATAGCGACGGCAAAACCAGTTTAACTCCGTGTGCACTCAGTTTAGACATCACTTGCTTAGCCGTATCGTCGGTCGCTTGTCTGACACGAGTACTCGAATCGCCGAAACAAAGGAGAAGATGTGGCAGAATGTGAACGATATATGGCTCAAAAAGTCGGCCTAACATCGAACACAACATCTCAAAGGCAAAGAGAGCGCCCTCTCGATGGTTAGGATTTTTCTTGTCTTGAATCGCTTCAGTCAATGCGTCCATAATTCCCAATTGTTTTAACGATAAAATACCCAAACCTTTAATAATACCGGCGATACCATAAGCGGCGCCCTTTCGCTCGCCATAACTTTCCGATTCGAGAAGCAATTGAATCAACTTTTGCAGTAAAGACGGCGCTTCCTCTTTGAAGGCTGGGATCAAATGTGGCAAACAGTTGGCCACTGCTTCCTGAACCATCTGTGACGGTGTGGACAGCGCTTCGATCAGTTTGGCTACAATTGGCTTCACTTTGGGATTATCTTTGTCTATATGTCTGGCGAGAGTTCCCATCAGAACAACAACACTGCGTCTGACGGCGTCGTTGTCCGAAGTGTCGGGCGCGTCGTCTAAGAACTTCTCGAATACATTGAGCAATAAATTGATACTTTCTTTGCCGTGAAGATTGACGAGAGCACAGCCCGCCTCCAACATCTGGCTTTGGACGCTCTCATTACGATCTCCGAGCGCTTCCGGAACAAAGAAATGAGCGATTTCTTCGATTATCTCATTGGGAATCAATGGCGCAATTTGTGTCAATACCAGAGCAACGCCTAAACGGGGCTCATAGATGTCCACTTGACTGTTGGCTATCGCGCGGCCAAAGTTATCGATAACAGGAGGCAATACTTTAGCTCTTTCTCTGTAAATATCAATTAACTGCTTCACAACTTTCGGCGTCTGTTCGGGATATTCAGACAAAAGCGCTTCCATAGCGCCTGAAACTGAATGTCTTAGTATTGAATTGCCGTTTATTATGTCGTCAAATAAGGCATTGCAAAGGGAAACGCTTGTCCGGAGCCTACAATCGCTGAACAATTGTTGACCACTTGTCGCGCATTCTTCGTTTGGATCAAATTGAGTGACAAATATTCTGTGTGTCAAAACAAATTTCGCTTTTTCGTCATTCATGTTAACCAAAACATTATGCGACAGAATTTGAAGGGCATTGAGGGCTGAACTGCGAACAGTTTCCACACTATTCTTGAGGGCCTCTAAAAGTGTGTTCACCTCTTGGAACGAAGCTCTGGCACATCCCTTGTCTCCATTGGCAGATAAGGCCATATCTAACAACACTTTGGACGCGTTCTGCTCAATATGTATGGGACTCTTCGCAATCACTTTAATAATCGTATCAAACATATACTTGAGGGGCAAATATTTGGGATCTTTGAGTCCAATGGTGTCGTCTTCGATGTCATCCAAACCATAGCTCATATTGAATCTCATGTGCGAGTGCTCCGACACTATTTGCAAACATTTCAACAATAGGTCGTCTGGTGTCTGGCTATTCATTAGCAGAGATTGGATTAATGGGAAGGTATAGGCAAAGGCCGGTGCAGTCAAACGCAACTTTATAGCCAATTGTGCCGTCTTTTCGTCATAATCTCGTCCCGTCGGACGACACGTCCGTTTGTGTAATTGAGTCATCAGTTTATCGACGCGTTCATTCAGATCACCGGTAGTCCAGTGCTCGTCGATCGGGCAAAAAGGCTTGAGTTGTCTGAGAGTCAAATAAGCCAAAGAGTCGCCGAAGCGTTTCAAATCCGAGTCTCTTTGATTGAATAGTGTTTTACGCAAATCAACGAACAGTTTAGTGGCCTTTTGTGNATCAAAGGGCCCGCTATGTTCACCACCGATGGCTTTAATGCCTCGGCACTCGTCAGTTCAATCACTTCACTCAACCCATGAGCCGCTTGTTCTTTCTGCTCTGGATTACCGTTAAGTATGGCTTCTCTGAATATGGGAAGTATTGGTGCAATTCCTTTGGCTAAACAAAATCCCGGTAATAATAATTGAGTCTTTCGGTTGTGAGCGCCAGCTTTCAGACCACTGACAGCATAGCGAACAGCGTTTCGCACTTCAGACACGTATTCCATCTGTTCTTTGCTTTCCATACTCTTTGTGATGGCATTCAATGCTTCCCAACTTTGATTCAACACCTGTTCGTTGGAATCCGTGAACAATAAAATCAAACCTCGAATTAATTGTGAGAGATTTGAGGATATGTTGGCCTTTGATTGACTGCAATACGCGAACAATAAGAGCACAGATGAGCGTCTGATGGTTGACGACTCATTGCGTGCCGACTCTAACAAGTGGTCCACTATTGTCCGAACGCCCATCTCGTCATTAACCGATAGTATCACTGATTGGCAGTAATCAAACTCCTGAATACAATTAACACAAATTATTGTTAGGCTTTAGTAAACATTGATGTAATGTATTAATGAATAAATAATGATTTACTTGTTTTTCGTTCGGAGTGTCGATTGCATTACTTAATGCCAGGAGAAGTGCCGGAAGTATTTTAGGCAAGTGTTTAGATAAGGAATCGCCCGCTACTGTCGATAGGAATGATAGGGCGCGGGTGTTGACCGGTGGCACAGTTAACTAAATACAAATTTTATATGTGGTTAAGATAAAAAACATACATATTTTCCTATAATT